TAACATATAAAAGTTCTTTTTTTGAGTTCTCTAGATAGTTGTTTAAGAGTGTTATGTGGTTTGGGGTCGTTTTTGTGCCATTTTGGTTGAGCTCCGGGACCATTATGTTTGGGCCTCCTCACCACTGAAATCTTGAGGGATTTTAGTGATAAGGATGGTGCCTTGAGGTCCTAGGAAGGAGAGGGCCACCCCCTCTCCTTGTTGTCCTTGAAAAGGACCTTTTTTGCCTCTTGAGAGAGCACCTAGTTCAAGTGTGTGTTGGCCATGCCTTGACTGATTTCTATGTTTATTATGTCATAATATAGCATTGTTGCATGTTGGTTTAGGTACACCATGCTTGCTTAGCATACATGCCTTGTAATGCCATATTTAGGTCTTAACATGCTTTAGGTGTTGATCCTTGTTCTAGCATGTTTTAGGCCTAGCTTTGTAAAGCTTTTGTACTTGTTTTGCCATGTTTAAGGTCTGCCCTTGGTTTCTTTGTCGAACATGGCATGCATTGCATAGCCCCTTTGCATTTTGGCTTGCAAGCCTTAAATGCATGGACCCCTAACATGCATTGCTTGCATTAATTCAGTGGTTTGGAACCACTTAGCATGCCATTTCAGTCCACATAGCATGCCTACATGCTTGCATTTGATACCCCTTTAATGTGTTAAAAGGTTGTTGTCTTATGCTCCTTGTTTGGGCCCTTGTGCATGCTTTCATACTTAAGCCATTTAGATGCCATTTAGGTGGGTTTTGAGGCTCATTTTAGCATGTCACATCTCTATTTTCAGCCACTTAATTCATGCCATGTGTGGTTGACCTAAGTGTAGTTCAATGCTTCTTTGGTGAGCCTTAGGCTTTAGATCATTTGTTGTATGCTATGCTTGTCTTGTTTGCTCGTTTTGGCACCATCATTAACATGATTTTAGAGCTTAATACATGCTATATGTCCATGTTTGCATCCTCTTGAGTGTGCTTGAGAATTTCTCTCTAATGCTTGAAGTGTTGGAGATCATTCGCATGAATGTTTGTGTGCCTATTAGTCCTTCATTTTTGAGCACCTTGGCCACTGTTTTAGGCCTAGTAAGGGCTGCCTAAACCGTGCTTAAGTCCATCCTTTGCTTGTTTGCATGCTTACCTTGCATGTTTGCTTGCATACTTGCATAAATGCATTGTGTGCCCATGTTGCATGCTGGTTCACATGCCTAGGTTGCACTCCATCTAGCATGCATGCCTTGTTCCTTGATTTAGTGATGGGAGTTGGGCCTTTGTTTGTTGGTTTGCATTGCATTTGAAATCAACATGCATAACTTGGTCTCTTGGGCCATCATGCATTGAAATGCGCGATTGATGGTCCGAGAACCAAGGACCATGTCCCTTTGAGTCATAAACATGATAAGGGATATGGTCGGTGCATACATTGCTTGAATTGCATTGCCACGCAAAGCTCTGTCCTCTACTGCTGTCAAAGCAGATTCTGCAGGAAACTTTGGCGCGGTCGACTACATATAGTGCCGACGGCCATCCATTGGTGGCCGATAGCTTAATCAGTGGCCGATGATCATTTCCCATGGCCGGTGACCATTCCACTAGCCGGTGGTGTTCCACAGCACTCAGAGAGAGAAACCCTGAGACTTGTGCAGTCTTCAAGGAGGATAACAGTCAAAGCAGAGGCATCTTGTGCATGGCAGTGGCTTTCAGCGGAACCGAGCGCGCATTGCATTTGGCCCTCTTCCTGAGACTGTTTACTCTTTCATTAGATTAGTTAATTTGTTAATTAATTATTGGTCTGTAATATTTAATTAGCTTGTAGGTTAATTAAACGTATTATTCTTTCGGTCCCTCCGAGCGAGGGCAATTTGTAATAAGTGTGGGTGCTGTGTGCATGCCTTCCAACCCCCACTTCTTTCTCCCTTTTACTTACCTACTTTTGATGGTTAGTATTAGGACATGTTTACTATTAGCATACCTTATGCTATGCATGTGGCATCATTCATCCGTATTACATGACCGGGCTTGGCGCATCATGTTAACCTGCATAAGTATTTCAAATCTAACTTGAATACGTGCATCAAATGGTTGCATTTCACATGCCATTTAGGATTAGCCAGCCTATCCTAATTACATTCCGTATGCGTTGCATTAGCCACTTTAACATGAACTAGGATCACGCATGTTTGCTAACTAGTTACATTTTGGCACGGAGTAGATGTAAGTATCTATGCCTTAGCATCTTGCATGAATGTGAGTGTTCCATGACAGCATGCTTACCATGCGGCTAAATGCTTATGTGATATAAACTGCCTGAATGCCTGTGGGTGAAGTTTGGATTGTTTGAGTTGGAACAACTCGTTGAAATTCGTATTTTAGCCTACCTGCGAGAGCAAAATTTCAAACCATTTTCCAAAATTAACGGATATGCAATGCTTTGTTCCAAATTACGCAATCTAGTCTATATTTGTTTGCCGTGCGCATAACATAGTAATGCTAGACTAATAATTGGTTTAAGAACACATAACGTTTTCAAAAACGGATATCATGGTTAGTAGAGGCCGATCTTCGGATCGGGCGAGAGGGGGTGCTCATAGCTGACCTTCCCCAATCGTACCCAAGTTCCCGAGCCGAGGCAACTTTGGTGATGACGGACACGTGGCCTTTGGCACTAAGTCAGGGTTTCCTAAATTCCCCCATTAAAAAATATTTTGGTGGCGACTCTATATCTGGCAAAGCAGTCCATGTTTGGCACTTCTTTCAAAAATCTGTTTTTCTCAAAACAATTTGTCGGATTTGGACTCTTTGGTTCAGATTAAGAACCGTGACAATTTGAGTCCGAACTGTAGTAGACCCCACATATGAACAGAACGGGACTTCATCCACCCGGGGCATTCGGGGACGTCTACAGTTTCTGGCGACTCTGCTAGGGATTATGAGAACTTGACTCGAACTCGTGATATCCTGTTTTGATTTCACTTATGTGTTTCTTTGCATTGCATGTGCATTGGTGCACCTTGGAACACAGTGTTTGCCATCTGCTATTCTTGAACGGTTTGCCGGAGGCTTGCCTTGTCAAGGCATGACCATAAGGCTGACCGGTTGCAGGCTCTGCCACGATAGGAACACAAACCCCGGTTTTTACCGGGGCACCCTTTTTGACCATTCGACCTAGTGCATATTCGGAATCCATAGTGACCATGCCAAGCTAGGACAGGTTGCTTACCCAATGTTAGGTTGTTTGAAACCGCTGTGTGTGTAGTGAAAACCCTAATTCCTGACAAAATAGGACAGGGAAACCCTACCCCAACATAGGGGTGTTTTGGTTCTCTCTTACTTGCTATGTGCTTTTGGAGTCTACATGAACGTACATACCAGTTTGCAAGTCTGGGGCATCAGGCTTAAGGGCATTGGTATCAAAATTTGAGAATCAGTTATATCCACGGGTATCAGATTCAGTATTTTGGGAACAGTAATTTGGGGAACAGTGATTAGTCATCAGAAACAGTTGTTCAGTTGTACTTCTGTCTGTTCTGATAAAGTTGGGCTGAAATGCTACGTGTTTTTCATTTCAGTTCAGGGATTCAGTACAGAGTAGTCAATATTCTCCTTAGCTGAGGCAAGGTAGACATCTGATCCATCAGTCACCGTTCAGTTCAGTGGACTCATGACGACCCAGAGTTCAGAAGAGATTATGGTCATGGCAGCCACACTAGACCAAGGAATCACCCTGCGGGATGAGACCAATGTTGATGTACCGCATCCGCCCAGGTCGCCTGTCGCGCACCCAATCTGGACCCCCCAGTTGTATCAGGCTCGCGAGCCCACTACATTCGAGTTGATGGGGATGATAGGTGACCTCCAAAGGTCTGTGGTAGATCTCGCCTATGGAATGTTGGCTTCGCCACCAACCGCACCATATGCCGAGAATTTTGTACCCCAGGAGCCCCCGTTATTAGGACGGATTATGATTGAACTTAGCCAACCCGAAGTGGTCTCAAGTTATAGCAATGACATTTCAACATCATCCCAAACCCTCGATCAGGCTGAGGTCAGAGGTAAGGGCAAAATGAAGACAGATGCTGATCCCATTGAACAACTGCTGTAGGTAGTCGAGGCTTTGAAAGCCAGGGGGATGAGTAAGCAACAGGTATTCGCAGCCGTGGCCAAGACCGTGGATGATACCTTCCCCACTCCAAATGAAGGCAGTACAAGTCAGTCAGAAAATCGGGATAGGCCCCGTCATGCCAGAACAGTTCCTTCCACTCCTAACCCTGCATCTGGGAAAGACCAGAAAACTAAAGCAGCGCCTGCCGACCCTTTCGCTAGTGCGTCTAGCAAGAATATTCAGACTTCAAAGTACCTGCCCTGAGGGCGCAGGGTCTTTCACGCTCTCTACATGCCGTTGTCCAAGGCACTTCAGATCCTGGCCGAAAGAGGGCATCTTAAACCCCTCGAGCCTAGGCCTCTCCCTAGTCCTCTTCCAGCAAGCCATGATGCTACTCAGTACTGCGCGTACCATCAGCAAACCGGCCACCCTACCGATAATTGTTTCCGCCTCCGTCATGAGGTGCAAGATTTGATCGACAACGAGGTTATCCTCCTGCCCACCTCAGCAAAGTCCGCTACTACCGAGCTATTAGATTTTGAGGATACTACCTGCGGGCGGTGCCCGGTGTATTTCGGATGTGGCGTTTGGCACGCATTTTGAAGCATCCGCGAATGCTAGTTTTGTAAATTCTGGCTTGGGTATCGAGTCAGTCTTTTATTTTGTTTTGAGTCTGTCTCATCGTCTTGATTCTGCTCTTTTTGCTTAAGGGTCTGTCTTGTTGTAGCGAGTCGGTCCCCTTGTATAGAATGTCAGGTGATTCCGGGGTTGTTGCCTCGAACACCATTTTGTTTTGTAATTACCCCTTTCGTTTTCTTTTTGAGTCAGTCTCTGCTGTGGAGCCAGTTGCAACCAGGAAATCTCAATGAAACAGCTACGGCTATCATGTTTCCGTGCTTACTGTTATTTTGAGCTAGTTATGCCAGAGGATTCGAATGGAACGACAGTACATTCCACTTGTTCTCTTGTGCCCTGGAAATCATTGTAATGACTAAAGTTTTTCAAAACCTTTTTGAACACTGCGGTGAAAACGAAGGGGAAGGAATTCCTCGGGTTTTGCAAAATTTTGATCAAATTGAGAGAAAGAAAGGCATGCTAAGCCCTTAATGATTGAGATCATGCTTATTAATGTGAGTACTGAGAAGGATCCTGGCTTGATCCAGATTGGCTCCACACTATCTTCAGCGCGAGCGATTCGTCGCCTTCCTAAAAACTTTCAAAAATTCAAAAAAAAATGTTTTGCGCGGTCCTGTGAAGACCTGTGTGGGATCGCTCTTGAGACTGTGCAGCTTAGGATCGCTCTCAGCCTCTAAACTCGACCTTTCATTTTCAAACCTTGAACCACGATTCGGAGTGTTCAACGATCAACCATCAAGAGACGCCTGTGTAGCCGTATTTGAAACAACCCTCGAACAAGAGGCAAGAAATGTCAGATCAAGAAAATCAGATCTCATCAGAAGAAGCTTGTGAAGCTAGAATAGAAGCACCCCTCGAACTAGGTGCACAAATGTTTGATGTGCTCGCAGAGCCGAGGATGGGTCCTTCAGCAAATCAATACAACAATTATTCTCTTGGATTCAGATGATTTCGGAATCTCAAAACCATTTGGCATGGACTTGTTGCACTTTTACCCTTTGAGAGGCTCGCTGGGCCGAAAACCCGGAAGGGCGACCCAGGCAAAAGTTAAAGCAAGGAAAAGAAATGAAAAGAGTAGAATAATAAAAAAGAGAGAGAAAAAAAGAAAAAAAGAGAGAAGAAAAAAGAGCAAAAAAAAAAAGAGAAAAAAGAAAGCAAAACAAAAAGAAAAGAGAAAAAAAGAGAAGCTTGCAAGGTCGAAAACCCGCATCGGGCGCCTTGGCAAAAGTTAGAGCCTAAAAAAAAAGTGAAGGTTAAATACCCGAGTGTACATTAACCCGAACTACGTAAGGCTTAATTCCCATGTTTGGGATACGTAAGCAACTTCATCCTGAAGTCCAGCCCCCAACGCTTTCATAGCGACTAAGTTCGTGTAATGGTTTTGATTATCCTTGCCTTCTCTGTATCTGAGAGTTCGGTCGTGATCGTCACTGATGAGGACTGTTTACAAAATGCTGCGGCACCCATCCAAACAAGGGGCAACGTTCCGTTGCCGTAAGTTGCCACGAGTCACCATTCAAACCAGGGGCAACTTTCCGTTGCCATGCAGCTCTTTCAAGCAAGGAGCAATTTTCCATTGCCTCCGATCCGAGGTTGCACATCTCAAGAGTAAGCTCTACGCTCGTCGAGCGGTGGCCATTTGCAAAAATAGTTTTTGAAAATTTTTACTAAGGTTGACTAATTCTTTAGAAAATTATTTCATTTTCCAAAACTGGACCATTTTCTTGGACCAAAAAAAGGAAAATTTTCAGTGCTCATAGCCTAGCTCGCACGATTTTCAAATCAAAAATCGAACAAGTATGTTAATCTAACTCTTATATTGGTCAAAACTGTTTTAGTACAAAACCGAAACAAAAATGGTCAAAGTGATGAACTAGGGGCACAGTTGAGTCAGGTGTTCTGTCTTTCCCCCTTTTATCAGCATACTCGTCAGAAGGGCACTCTATTCGCCAGAAGAAGGCACAACCGAAGCTGTCTGTAAAGGGCTGAAAGCCCTCTCACCCTCCAAGCAACGAGGTATCGAGTCAAGTGCGAGGCACAAATTGGAACGGATCAAGATACTCCGTTCCTTTACCTGGGACACCGACTAGATGTCACCAGAAGAAGTAGCCGTGAGCTAACCGTATCGGGCATGAACCCACAACTTCCTATTCATCCATCAATCACCCTGGGGAGGGATGAAAAATGAGAGAATAAAGAATAGAGAGGTATAAGTTGAGAGGAAAAAGTGAGCACGAGGGTTTTGAGAGAAAAAAAAAACGAGCCTGAAGACCGAGCGACATGAGAATCACACAAGTGTGAAAGGGTGGGAAACAATACCCAGAGAAGCTGGCTTCCCGCAAGTTGAGAGATCTCTTGTCTTTGTAACACGTCTGTGTGTTGTGTCTTTTGATTTGTCTGTCTCAACTCTTGTTTTGAGTCTTTTCCGAGCGCGTCTCGTTGTGTTTAGGTCGTCTGCCTTTTGTTTTCTCTGTTGAGTCCTTTCGCTGTGTTCAGTTGTAAGCTCAATACCCCAGCTTGGAAAAAAATCTTTCTTCAATTTCAAAATTAACCGTTCTGTGCTCAGAGTGCTGTGCCGCCCTCCACATTTGTGCAAAGCAAATTTGGTTCTTTCAACAACTACAGGGTCCACCCCCGATAAGTGCTAGGCTTATCTGAAGTTTTTGGGTTCCGGATTGCATCTGTGTGTTTCAGCTTCTGCCGATTCTACCTTTGTATTCCGTCTTGTCAGATTGGACTGTTTGTTCAGGATCCGCCGCGTGCAGAATAAACCAAGTGCTGTGTTATGGGCTATATGCAGGTTAATCCTCAGCAGAGTAGGGGCTATGTGTTCAGAACGGGGCAATGGGTTGCTTGAGTTGTTTTGTCGATTAGCTAGTTAGTTATCTGGTTATTAGTGGTCAATATTCAGACAACAGATCAATTCCATCTACATTGAGGTGTAATGCGATGCAATGCAATGCAAAGTATGAAATATACAAATGTAACACTTTTTCAGACAAAAAAGGGGTTTGTTTCATTTCATCATCTTTTTCAAGTACATAGTTTTGGAAACAAAAACCTGCCCGCGGCAGTACAAGGTACTCTAACACCAGCAAAAAAAGGAAAAAGTACAAAAAAAAAGACAAATAGCAAAAATCTGTATCAATGTCAAGTGGCCTCAGGCCTAGGGGTCCGTCCTCGTCCTCTTCCTGGACGAAGGTCCAGGAGCATCGTCATCAGCATCATCATCTGAGTCTGAGCCCGAGCCGTCTCCGGTCTCCTCCTCGGACGCCTCCGCCTCAGCCTCAGCCTCGGACTCCTCATCATCATCATCATCGTCAGGGACTGGAGCCCGAGAGCTACTCCCTACGTGGATACGCCCCGCCTTGGTGCAGGGGTACACTCTGCCATCTCGGGTGCAAATGGAAGGTCCGGCCGGAGCACCTCCCACAGAAGGAATCTGAAAGGGGTGCTGAAAAGTACAAAAGGCAAACGCATCAGTATACAGTGAACAATGTATCAGTGCAGAATGCAGTGTATGAGTATAGTGTATGAATGCCGTGAACAATGTATCAGTGCAGAATGCAGTGTATGAGTACAGTGTATCAGATGCCGTGAGGGCCATGTATCGAGTGTTGTGTTGTGCATCAGATTGTGTGAAATAGTGTATGGTTTGAGATTGTGGTCAGAAGAACATACAGGAATGCTATAGATGGCCAGCAGGTCGAGGCTCCGCTGGAACATCCCCATCACAGAGGCGGTCAGATCCAGGGACTGGCGGGTGTACTCAGAAGAAGCCTGCAAAAAGTATCAGATGCATCAGTATTCTGCGGAATATCAATAAACTGAAATGAAATGACAATGTAAGATGCAAGATGAAGTAGTACATACGGGGGGTAAGTCGTAAAACCCGACTAACTCATGATCAGCCGGAGGGGGAGCAATGGGAATCTGGTAAGTCGTCCCACCCTGTCTTCGGCATGTCATCACAGTGGGCAGTGCTGGCCAACTAGCCCCCCGTCCCCTCCGAGCTCCACTCCTACCACGGACCCGAGCTGTCCTCGATGTCCCTGCCCCTGCTCCTGCCCTAGCTGCTGGCGCCGCAGGCCTCTCTCGCTCAGCTCGGCGACCACCGCTCAAAGGCCGCATAATGAAGGTCCGGACGTACTTCGAGTAGTGGCCCTCGCCTCTGTAACCACTCGCATCCCAACCAATCGTGTAGTCCGCCATCCGCTCAGGAGTGAACCTCTCGGTATCCCTCATGTGCTTAGGAGGGTGAACCGGGACTATCTGCTTTGGCAAACCCAGGGTCTGGCGTAGGAAATGCTCACCCAGGTACCAAGCCCGGCAGACTGGGCCCTTTAGCAAAATCCTAAAGCGCAAGTTCTCCTCCGCACCAGCAAACCTCTCCCGCATCGTCGCTGGCAATGGAGCCCATGGCTGCCAGGTGATCTGAAAATGAAATGCAGTTTGTCATCTACTATTATTGGCAATACGATGTAAAGTGAAGCTTAAATGAACTGTAAGTTGAACATACCTCTACGGGGGTGATGGTGTCGAAATAGCGGCGGAAGAAGATGAATGACTCGCGGGGTCTCCGCACGCACCTCACGTCAAAACGGCGTGAGAACGGAACGACGAGAGGGGTCTCTACGTCAGGCACTAGGGCTAGCCTGGGAAAGTAGGCATAGACCCACAACTGCAGAGTGAATATCAGTATGCTTATCAGATGAAGCAGAATACAGAATAAAGCAGAAATAATAGAATCGTGTATTGTGCAGAGTGTGCAGTGTATAGTCAGTGTAAAACAGGGCATGTGTGTGCCGTGTGTGAAGTATACAGTTAGCGTGAAACAGAGAGTACAGTGTGTGCAGTGTACAGAGTACAGAAAGTGTAAAGCAGAAAAAGAAAATGTACCTCCCAAGCGCGCCAATAGCCTCCAAGCAATTGTCCGCTGCCACGGGAAGCTGAGCTCATATATCCATAGAGTGTGGCCAGAGCAGCGCCACCCCAATCATAGCGCAGGATCTGCGTGACATCCACCAAGGCGCTGAGCAGACAGAAGGGCACGGTGTTCGCCCGATCGGCGAAAATGGTCGTCCCCAGTAGAAACATGAGGAAGCCGCGCACATATCGCTCCACTGCCTCTTAGGTCATCGGAACCTCCTCAACTAAGGCTGGCTGGACTCTGAATTGAACCTCGAACCACGAATATCGGACAAAGCTGGGACGTGCGAGAGGCGGCACCTCACCGAGCAGGTAAATCTGAGCGGCCTCCCACTTGTCTATGTCGGTATGGAAGGGGATCGGATCACCCCCCACCCTGATGCCGGTGAGCATCGAGAAATCGTAGGGAGTCATCATCATATCTCCCGTAGCAGAGAAGTGAAAGGAGTCGGTGGTGTCCCACCACCTCTCCGCTAGAGCAGCAAGGAGAGGCCTGCTCGTGGTGAGTCCGGAAAGTCCTCTGCAGAATGCGCCAAAGCCGGTCTGATCCACGATGTGGCGGACCGCATCGGGTAGCTCCGTGTACCAATCTCGAGCGGCAACATTCCCATACCCACGGACGGTATGGGAATCTCCCTGTTCAAAAGCAAACAGTTGCGAAGCAATATAAAATGTACAGTTTTGAAGAACAGTCGAACTTGATGCAAATATAGCGTGTGTGCACGTTTTCAAATTCAAACAAAATACCGGGTGCCGGTGTGCTTACAGTAAACTACAGTGTGTACTGTGTCAGTATGTTTGAGTGTTTCAGGGCTAGTGCAGTGTGTGCGCACGTGTCAGGTTCAAACAGATATCAGTTGCGAATGTGTTCACGGATAAATTACAGTCTACAATGTATCAGTGTATTTGAGCTAGGCAGTTAAAGAACATAATCAGCTATGGCAGTTAAGTGTTCTACATTACGGAAAGTAAAGCAGAGGGAAGAATATACCTCGGAAGCGCCGAAAGATAGATGGGATGTCGGCTCGCGCAAAAGAAGCTCTGGAGGCGTCGCCCTATCAAAGCTCCTGAACTGACAGAGTCCATCGGGAGGCAAGACATGGATCGCCGGTCGGTAGGTCACCGGGTCGAACGGGCAGACCCTCAAGGGGAGGAGCTCGGCCCCGGGATCCATCTCATGATCCGGGAGAGTCCCGCCCTGTGGAATATCGTCTGCCATCTCAGAGAAAATGAGAAAGCGGCCGGAAAAGTGAAAACAGGGCTAGAATGCGAAAAGTCATCCCCGGGGGAGGGGGGAAAGTGGCCGGAAAAGTAGGAATGTAGAAAATGTACGGAAATCAAGAAAAACTTGGGGGAAACAAACCCCAAGAGGTGGAAATCGAAAAAACTACACCGAAACGAAGTTTCGATCGGATGAAAGTGTTCGAAACGCGATGAACTTCGCGAATCAAACGTCGAAAAGGGCGCGAAAATCAAGGAAAACAAGGAAATGAAGAGAAGAAAATACTCTAGAGAGAGGGAGGAGAGAATTTCGGCTAAGAAGAAGTAAGAAAAATAGGGTTTGGAACCCTATTTTAAAAGACCTGAGCCAAAAGACAAAACTGCCTCGATTTAGGCATTTTTGGCCGGTCGGCTAAATATTTGGCCGGTGATGTGTTTTGATTGTCGGTGGACAGCCAGTGACTTCCCCTTTTGGCCGGTGAGCCTCCTACAGCCTTGTTTGGGTCAAATGAGTGGTTTGGGACCTTCATTGCTCAAGTTAGTGCAAGAACAGTGCATTTCCGAAGCTTAACCAGCCTCCGTTTCAACCTCGGACCGTGTCTTCTGTGCGTGACACTCGAATTTGTGCAAGGTGCATCCTTTTGGTATCTTTTTTGTCTCTTACAAGGTTCAAAAGTTACCCCACGTACGTTACGTTACAACGCTCTGTCGTGAACGCGCGTTGATTTTGCGTCATTTCTGTCACGTCATTGCGCACACATCTCGCATTGTCATGCGCATGTCGTAATCGCATCATGCATTTCAAGATAGTGCATATGCCCGGTCTGGCGAGACCTTAAACCCGCTCAGTTGCATTGTCATGCATTTCAAACGACACGCGTGGTTGCGCATTCAGGTTCACATGCATTGTCATGCATATCAAAAGACGTGCGTTGTCACGCACTTGCATCAATATGCATTGTCATGCATCTCAAAAGCCGTGCGTTGTCGCGCATTTCGAAATCATGCATAATCATGCATTCAAAATAACAAAGCTCATGCACTTCAAGATAGTGCATATGCCCGGTCTGGCGAGACCTTAAACTCGCTCGGTTGCATTGTCATGCATTTCAAACGACGCGCGTGGTTGCGCATTCGGGTTCACATGCATTGTCATGCATATCAAAAGACGTGCGTTGTCACACACTTGCATCAACATGCATTGTCATGCATCTCAAAAGCCGCGCGTTGTCGCGCATTTCGAAATCATGCATAATCATGCATTCAAAATAACAAAGCTCATGCATTTCAAGATAGTGCATATGCCCGGTCTGGCGAGACCTTAAACCCGCTCAGTTGCATTGTCATGCATTTCAAACAACGCGCGTGGTTGCACATTTGGGTTCACATGCATTGTCATGCATATAAAAGACGTGCGTTGTCACGCACTTGCATCAACATGCATTGTCATACATCTCAAAAGCCGCGCATTGTCTCGCATTTCGAAATCGTGCATTTTTATGCATTTCAAAAAAAATCATGCACTTTCATGCATTTCAAAAGCCGCGTGTTGTCGCGCACTTGCGGTCTAGGAGACCTTAAATCCTTCGAAGGTGCGAAACCTTTGGCGTCTACATTGTCGTGCATGATCCTCGTCACGCGTTGTCATACGCACCTTACATGCATCATCATGCATCTCAAAAGTCGCGCATTGTTGCGCATTTCGAAATCGTGCATTTTCATGCATTTCAAAAAAAAATCATGCATCATCATGCATCTCAAAAGCCGCGCATTGTCGCGCATTTCAAAATCATGCATTTTCATGCATTTCAAAAAAAATCTTGCATCATCATGCATCTCAAAAGTCGCGCATTGTCGCGTATTTCGAAATCATGCATTTTCATGCATTTCAAAAAAAATCATGCATCATCATGCATCTCAAAAGCCGCGCATTGTCGCGCATTTCGAAATCATGCACTTTCATGCATCTCAAAAGCTGCGCGTTGTCGCGCATTTCAAGTTCATTTGCATTGTCATGCATCTCAAAAGCCGCACATTGTCGCGCATTTCGAAATCATGCATTTTCATGCATCTCAAAAACTACGCGTTGTCGCGCATTTCAAGTTCATTTACATTGTCATGCATCTCAAAAGTCGTGCATTGTCGCGCATTTCGAGACCATGTGTTTTCATGCATTTCAAGCGACGTTGTCGCGCATTCAAGTTCACATGCATCAATATGCATCATGCATTTCAAAAAAAAAAAAAAAACAACAACAAAAAAAAATGCATTTTTCCTTCATCATGCATCATCATGCATTTCAAAAACAAAAAATGTGTGCATCTTCCCTTCATCATGCATTGTCATGCATTCCAAAAAACAAAACAAAAACAAATAGTGCATCTGTCATGCATTTCATTGTAAATAGTACATATGTCATGCATCATTATAAATAGTGCATATGTCATGCATCATTGTAAATAGTGCATCTGTCATGCATTTCCTTGTATATAGTGCATATGTCATGCATTTCACTGTAAATATTGCATTTACATTCCATTGCATATTGTATATATTGCATTGTAGCTTGCATGCATCCACTGCATCACCTTCCATCTATGGCTCGCGCCTTTCCATGTTGAGCTTGGTCTGGTATGTGCCGATACTTTTCACGTCAAAGCACAGTTCTGCATGTGTACGCGCCTATTCCACGCTGGTATGTTGGTTTGAGGGTTGCGGCACCTTTTTTGTGTTAGACGTGACTTGTCTGTGTACATGCCTTTCCTGGGCAATATATATTTTGGCCCACGTGCCTTATCTATTGTATCCTACCCATCCACTGCATATCGTATAGATTGCATTGTAGCTTGCATGCATTCATTGCATCACCTTCCATCTATGGCTTGCGCCTTTCCTCGTTGAGCTTGGTCTGGTATGTGCCCATACTTTTCATGTCAAAGCACAGTTCTACATGTGTACGCGCCTATTCCACGCTGGTATGTTGGTTTGAGGGTTGTGGCACCTTTTCTGTGTTAGACATGACTTGTTTGTGTACATGCCTTTCCTAGGCAAGATACGGTTTGGCCCGCGCACCATATCCATTGTATATATTACATTGTAGTGTAATTTTTTTGCATCCAGCATTAGGATCTTGTTCTTTCCCCAGCGGGTCGTTTCCCCACTTATGTCAATCCACCCAATTACTTGTCCTTGTGGCCGTCTACATCACTCATAATTCTACATGTGTTCGCACTTTGAGGGTTGCGGCACCTTTT